ATATTTCTGAATTTTTTTTTTTTTTAAAAAAAAGATATTTCTGAATTTTTTTTAAAAAATAAATAAATCCTTTTTTTTTTGCGATTTAAAATATTTATTTTTAATTATTATTAAGAAATGCATTTCTTTTCCAAATTAGTGAAACAAAAGGTTTAATAATTATTAAAAATAACACAATTTTATTTATTTATTATTATTTTTTTTACGAATTGAAATAGTCAATGGATTATTAAATTTAGTACTTAAAGACTAAATAACAGTATAAAATAAAAAGAAAAAATTTAAAATAAATAAAAATAATGTAAAATAAATAATATTGCAGTTAAAATGCATTTTACGTTAACCTTTGAAAAAGAAAAATTATACATTGATTCAAAGAGAGATTCAAACTTTCAACTAGTTCCAGAATGTTTAAAATTAATAACCTTCATTACAAAATACTTTTCTGTGATGTTTCATTCGAATTTAGGAAAAAAAGCCTAGATAAAAACTTTATACCATTCAGTTATTTTACAAACTCCAATCATTCGTCGATTTTCACGAGCTATTTAACTAGTTAAAATAATCATTTTCTTTGACTACATATTTTATTTACGTATTTGTAATTCGTATTTACAAATATATAGCTAAACAAAACAGAAATACGATTCGATATTTTTGAGATTAAAAAAAAAAGAAAAGAAGATAATTATATAGAATTATACAGAATGCAAATCAAATAGCTATTCTTGTAAAATCATTATATGAAGTTTAGCTTCTAATGACTTAAATTGCTTTAATATTTTATTTAAAAGATCTTTTTTTAAAAAATCATCTATCGTAAAAGTGGCTGTATTTCAGTTAATTTAATATATGATACATCAGGGTCTATGTAAATACTATGTATGCATGTTTCTGAGAATTTTGACAAAACGTTAAATCGCTCGACCCTGACAGCTAATTGAAACAAATCCTACCTGAGATTTCATTTGTCTCCCTAAATTTAATTGTTTACTGCATTTGCTTACTTACCGAAAATCGAAATAATACGAAAATGTCTTTCCCCTCTATTTTAAAATAATTGTCTCTCAACTAATTTTGCAGTTTACTAAGTATTTTTCCCCGCATTAAATAATGTTTTTAATTTTTTTATCACTTTATAAACGCAATATGTTATGAAATGTTGTATTACACTGTATATTATTATATCTGTATAATGAAGAACTGGGGGACAGTTTCTGATTAACGGCAAAATTAAGTTTAAAAAAAATAAATTCATATTATTATGTCTATTGTGATTTTTTTTTTATCTGAACCATTTCTGAACATGCTATTAATATTAAAACCAGAATATTTTGTGTATATTATTATTTTTTTTTCTTGCAGCTCATTCGATTTATAGCATGAATAATAATATTTAAATCATATATGTGTAAATTGCGATTTTTTTTTTTTTAGTAACTCAAAAAATCCTAAAATGATTCATAATATTAAAATCCAATATTAAAACCATAATATTAAAATCATAATAAATTCATGATATTGGATTTTCTTGAAACCAATTCTGAACATAGATTTAAAAACATAATGTTCAGTGGTACAAAAATAAATAAACGGCCCACATTAAATAATTTTTGAGCAGACGATATTTTAAATTACGAAATCTGACACATAAACTTACCATTTTTTCATCAGATTCTGCTTTCCAAAATATAATTTATTTTATAACCGTCGTTTAACAGTCGACTCAATTTTGAATTTACGACTACCAATCTCCAACTCCCAAGCCTTTTAATTTGAACCCAATCTAGAAGACAAGTGAACTCATGGGTCAAGTATTGGGAGAAGTTTGCGTTTTTGGAGGTCTTGGAGGGAACCAACTAGCATTTGCGCTACATGGAGAGGAAACCCACTAAAACCCACAGTTAACCTGGTGGTAAGGAAACTGTAAACCATGATTCATCTACTACTGAGGATATTTTACGTCAGCACTGTGATTCGTTCGAGCCGGGTGCTGAATTCGAATCCTAGCCAATGCTGAGATTGAATCTGGATCCTCTCGTTGGGAGGCGAGTGCTAACCACAATCTAGGTAATATGGCCAAAATAGTTTGGTCAGGAGAGTGGTAAAAATTCTGGATCACGTGTTTCATTATATCTCCAGAACTATTTAAGCGAATTTAAAATTGTTTACAAACAATTATAAAATTCATTTATCCAAAGATAATTTTATGGAAAAAAATAATTTTTAGTAAATACTTATTTTTTATTATTTTATTTAGTAAAAATTGAAAAAATTTTCTGTATGGTGTACAATTTTTTGAAGAACGTCATTTTTCATGGCGAAATACAAAATTTGAATGAAATCTATTGAATAGTTTTCTCCTGAGAAATCGAATTTTAACTAGGAGACTTTTTTTATGTGATTTGTCTTATAATTGTATCAATTTTAAACGTAACTTAATTTCGAAATATTATTTACCTAAAACGGCACACAGTTCTTCAATATTTCGTCTTCAACTCATTTTACCAGGTTTATACTTACACTGAAGATAAATTCAACTATTAGTGAATATATGCATCGCTTTTTTAAAAAAAGGAAAATTACTCATATGTGAAATGACTAGTCGTAGGGGTAAGTAACAAAAATATATTATCTTCAACATGATATATACAAGACAGAGGATGTTACTACTACTACAGTAAAAGTAAAAACGTAGATGTTTTTTCACAAACATCTTTGCTGAAGATTACGGTTACAAATTGAATATTAATGAGTTCAATGATGCCCTCTAGTGGTGTCTTCTGATTTTTCCACAAATATTAAGTGCTGAAAAAAAAAATGGCCTGGACTGAAAACAAAACCCTGAATTTTATTAGAAATTTTCGTTACAAAAGTAACTTAATTAAACATTTAAAAGAGGTTAAAGTTTTTACCCATCATTAGGCATTATTCAAATTTATTTTGTTGTATTGAGAAAGTTAAGTCTTTACATCCAAAAAATACGTGAAATCTCAATATGATCTGTAAAAGCTATTCTTCAGAAAGGGCTTTAAATAATTGCTATTCCAGTCGCATAATTTGAAAATCAGTAAAATAATTGCCTAATTTATCCAGTTCACAACTTTAGCTGGTATACGCTTCCTTCCTGCTTTGGAATTGACCCACTTTTTTTTTCTCCCTCCCTTGTCATTCAAAATAATGCCGCGCATTTCTGCTTCCTTTCCCGCCTCAAATGAGGTTTTAAATGATATTCTGCCGCCATTTTCTGTAAATAACAAAATATTAATGTATTCTCTTTTACTTCACAAAAAGCTCACCATTAAGAAACATCTAAAAATTTTTTTTTAATCTTCATTGATGAATTTTTCTGTTCAATTCGCATGGGGAAAAAATTGAATCTTACTCATATTGCAGACTAAAAATTAATAAACATGCCTTTAAATGATCAGTAAAGGTTTAACCACCTCATGCTTGCTGTCGCCCGTCAACGCCGGAATAGTTTTTTGTAAGGTTCGCATAAGTTTAATTTTATCACAGTGCAGAAGAGTTTAACATTTCTATAAAAACGGTGGCAACAGAGTAGATACGGAAATAATAATCAGCAGTAATCTATCCAATCAATAATCCATAACTTGTTTAATATTTCGATTCTTTAAATTAAGATTATTCATGTAAAAATTATTTATTTAAGATTATTTATGCAAAAAAATACCAAATTTAAAAAAAAAAAATTTTTTTTTCAAAAACAATTTATTGAATAAATTATGAAAAGAATATGCATTCATAAAGAATTCCATAAGTATCACTCATCGAACTTTTCAATCCAAAATATAATGATCAAATTCAATAATTAAGTTTCTCTGGTAACTATTTTCGATATTTATGACAGTAAAAATCTAGAAAATTTAAAATATTTCATTCTCCGCATTAAATACATACAAAATAATTAGTAGTGTTTTTTTCGGTTAATATATTCTAAGCTGTTAATGAACTTTTTTTTAACATTAAGTCGGAGTTCCGCAAAAAGAAGATCGATAATTTGGGTTTCCATAGCCAAAAAAAAAAAAAAAATTATAACCATTGTTCTATAGTACTCTTGTTTAAACAATATGCTCGAACACAGAACGAATTGTGCCTGACAATTTGGCAAAAAACTTAAATGTCCTTAGTTATTGAAAAAAAAGTTACATGGAGGAGTTGAAATCTTCATATTAGTATCGATGTATCTCTTTCATTCAAAGGATTGCTAAATTTATCAAAAATAACGTAACCCTATTCGTTCTAAATTCAATTCCTTAAAAAGGTATTAAAGGTTAAAATAAAAAAATAAGTTGATAATTTATTATAACGGGATTTACGATTATTTCGTAAGTAACATTTCATATAAATCCTCAGCAAACATATTCAAAATATGAAACGGGAAAAAAAAGAAAGAATGAAAAGAAGAAAAAAAGAAATATAAGTACTACATTAAATAATTAATATTTTTTTTTAAACCAGAAGAGCCTATTTTTGTTAAGCCTAAAGCTTTTGATTTATTTATTTATTTTTACGTGTAATTAAGCTTTCAGAGTCAGAAATCTAATGCCAGAGACTGTTTGGGACTACTATTAGACACGATTTTTATAGTTTTATTTGTGGAAAACATTCGGAATTTTTTTTATTTTTTATAAACAAGCTTTTTTCAAAAAAAAAAATAAATAAATAAATATTTCCTTGTATTCACTGAGTTGAAAAAAGTAAAACTTAAGATTTTTATTTCAAATTAACCTTCTCTTATCCTATAAAATACCTGTCTGATCCTGTTTTCCTAATCTTATATAAGTTTCTTCTTCTCTTTTTTAATGAAGAAATGTTGGATGAAATAAACAGCACGATTATATTTTCATAATGATTCAGATTTTCAACTCATTTCTTCGAATCCTAAATCTATCTTTCACACAAATAAGTACAGACAAAACGCATAGCCTATTCTTTCTATAAAAGGGGAAAAAATCCCAGTACAAAATAAAGGAAGATAAGGGGAGAAGCAGGAATTTATTTCATCTCTTCACTTATCCGTCCCCCCCCCCTCGAGGGTTGCAGGGGGGATGACTGTAATGAGACAGGCAAAGCCTCTCTTCAATTGGTTTTCTACAATGTACCAAGCAAACTGGTTCTCACTTGATATATGTTCCTCACCTTTCATGTCATTGGTTCAGTCCTGTGACAAGCGAAATAACCCTAAAAGTAAAGAATAAAATACATTATTACAAATGGTGCAGTTGCAAGCATTTCAGCAATTTTCGTAACACCACCTCTTCTCATATTTTTCGGTACTTCCGAAATATTTCCTCCGCGTTTGGCTTCAACTGAAAGTTAGGCATCATGTTTTAAACTTTGCCGCATCCTCTAAAAAATTAGAGTAAAAAGAGTACAGTACAAAACTTTTTTTGTTGTTGTTTGATTTCACCTTTGTTTTTTATTCATACTATTTCCATTAAAAAATTTTCATGCACTTTCAAAATCAGTTAAACCGTAATATCAGTGCCAACATATGGAGCAACCTTAATAAAATAATAAATTGATCCGTGTTTTTCATGAACTCTAAAAAATCGGTTTGACGTGAATCCTCAACATTAGTGCCTAAAACCATAATATGGACCGGATTTCTGCAGCCTTAATATCTGTGCCTAGAGCCATATTATTGACCGAATTTGCTGCAACCTTAATAAGGTAATAAATTGAACCGTGCTTATCATACACTCTTAAAAAAAATCGGTTCACCGTTAAACCTCAATATTAGTACTTTGAACCGTAATATAGAGTGAATTTTCTTCAACCATCTACACTGTGATCTAGCGGCTCAAGATCATGATCTAAGGTCATCTCGTACTAGTATGTATACGTACAACCTAGTAAGTATACTCTAGGAATATGTGGGAAAGCTCTTTCGGTCCTGAAGAAGTATTAATATGATAAGGGTTTGTTGCATATTTTGATTGCAGCTAATTTGATATATTCAACCTGCGTATGCCATGTATTTGCTCAAATATTAGTACGCCATGTATTTAACTATGCCAAAAAAAATTTTAATAGTGTTACGACAACATGTCGAGAGCCCTATAATGCCGCCATCTTGGGTTTTATATTATATTTTTTGTTTAAATATTCGATCAAGATGTAAGATTATAATTTTTAATTATATATTATATAAATTTTTTCAAAGTTCATAACCTTTAAAAACATAAATAATTAAAATTGTGTGAGATATATGGTCAAGGTTTCTTAGAGCGGGAAATCGTCTGACAATGTATATAGAGCTTCATAGTTCATTTTTTTTTTCGTAATATAGCTAAAAACAATCGAACTATTAAGTTCGCAACTTTGAATAGGCAATTTAAACTGTAATTTAGATTCCATAGAGACCTGCTGTACCGTTTGATAGTTTTTATAAATTTTAATTGTATTGATGAAAATGTATTGTATTTATGAAAACTTATTTGGATACTAAATAATTCTTTTAGCAGGAAACTACGCAAACACAAAAATATTTTTCAAAAGTCTAACAATGGACTGCTTTTATGTATTTAATAACCTTGATGAATTGTATTAATATAATTTATTGGAAAATATAAAAATGAATAACTATACCATGTGGTGTAAGGCACAAGATATGTACCGTTCTGATCGGATATTTTGTTTCATATTTAACGAAAATTAAATAAATATGATTATAAGTGCTTGAGACATTCTTTCGGATGCTGTGCATGCCAACTATTAGTTAGACTAAAAATTACTCACTAAGAATAAGTTTTTTTTTTTTTTTTTTTTAAGATGCGGATATTTTTTATTATTGTTATTTTTGTGATGTGTTTAAAAATAATTTGGCACAGAGTGCTGTCTACTCTGTTAGTGATTGCATAAACAGCTGCATCAAGTTTATTCTGCATGATTAATGATACTGCTGTAAGTGCAAATACTGCATTGAACGATGCTATCATTTACAGTAAATTGCTTACTCTGTTTTATCACAAATAATTGCAATGGAATGAAATTTTGGTCTGTAAGATTGAACCATCGTCAGAAAATTTCTAATTAGTAACTTATGCTCTAAATATTTATCTCCTCAAAATGCGTTGTGCAAAACATTTTCGCAGAGTTATTGAAGAGAATTTGCCAATCCGTCATTTGTGATCTTGCAACTAAGACACGCACCCGTTTTTTTTCTACCAAAAATTTTAGATGCGTTTTTTTTTCCTCATCTCATATGATCAAATGAAAAAAAAAATGTCACGGGATGAAATGTCTGGACGTCGACTACTTTTAATATAAAAACGGTCGAAATGAACCTCTTGAATGCATTCAAACTATTTTTCCGCTCTTATTTTTCAATTTTTATGATATAAACCTTTTCGATGATATTTTTAAAACATGCTTTAATAGAATAGCTCATTTTATAATTAAATTTGCTCATTTAGAATCAATTACATATAAAATCAGCTTATATAATTTTATTTACTATAAAAATATTTATCATTGATTATGAAATGTAATGAAAAAGTTGTATCTGAGGGTAAATTCGACTTTAACGATTTCATCTTGGGTAAAATAATTAATTTCACGTTAATATATATATGCATACTGTACATGTATTATATATGTATATGCTAACAATGTGTGCAACTAATTTCTTCGATTAATATAATTTATCGTTCAATTATCTAAACGTCAAGAAAATTATTAAACTGAATTATGTTCTAAATTACACAACTGCATACGCAACAAAATACAGATCTCCTCTAAAAATAAGAATTTTTTTTTCTTTGCATACAACTAGCTGTAACAAGTTAATAAAATCTAAATATTCCACTCCTAATGAATTATAAAACTGAATTATATAGTAAATTACACAATATATGTCTATACAACAATTTGTTTTTCTTTGTATAGAACTATTTGTAACAAGTTAATAAAATTTAAATATCCCACTCTTAATGAATTATAAAACTGAATTATCTAGTAAATCACACAATATATGTCGATGCAACAAATGTATTTATTTTAAAAACAATAAATCTTTTTATTTATCGTTCCAAATTAACAAAAAACAAATATCCCAACTCTGACAAAACACGCAAAATAATCCGTCTTCTGCAGGAAATAAATTCCTTTGAAGTATTAAAACTCCTTCTCTAAAAACTAGACCGAGAAACTTTTTTTTCTTTCAATTCAAAGCAGAGAAGGTAGCGGTCGATGGAAAAAGAACCGAAGAGGAGAGGAAGGGAGAGGCACTAAATTCTAAAAGGAGTATCTATTCCTCCACACATGCAGGCAGCCTCCTTACCTCCCCTCCCGACAACACAGCTCTTCCGCCACTTGTACACAAAATGGAATCGCCCAGCCAACAACAAGATTGATGCCCTTGATAGAAAGAAGGAAAAAGCATGCAACGGGAAGGGAGGGGAAAAAAATAACATAAATAAACTTCCCTACTACCCCCAGCGCAAGCAATGGAAGCGGTCCGTTGCTGCGTGCATTCCAGCTCATGACGTCACAGGAGCAGGTTGAAGGGAATAACACGTGCTGCCGTTGTCCGTGTGTTGGAGGAGGATTTCCAATTTTCAGCCTCTCATCCTTTTCTGCTGCTTTCGTTCTTTCCGAAACCCTACGTTCTGATTGCTACATTCGTTCTATTTTTCCCACTTCCCAGCACAATTCCCCTACTCTCCTCTCTCTTCCCCTAGCCTCTTCCTGCAGCCACCGCTCTGAAAACATCACAAGCAGCTGTTACTGCTGGGTCTCCACTGGGGGGCCGTATATTGCGTTCTCTTCTTTTATCTATAGATATATCTGTAAATATAGTCTGAAAAATGAGCACGTATCAGAGTGTAATTTTTTTTATTTTTTTTATTTTTATTTTTAGTAATAGTATGTTTGGCCTCAAAGACTGCATTAATAAATTATTAAATAAGTAAAATACGCTCTTTGCAATAGTATGAGAAATATTTTTTTTATCCTAATTATTTTTTATAGCGCATTATTAAACATTAGTACACTGCTTGCAATAGTGTGGATGTTATGTTTGGTCTTAAACATTGTATTAATAAATTATTGGATATCAGAAAATTAAATACGCTCTTTTTAATAGTGTGAGCAATGTAGAAATATTTTTTATCCTAATTATTTTTTATAACACATTATTAAACATCAACACACTGTTTGCAATAGTGTGGATGTTATGTTTGGTCTTAAACATTGTGTTAATAAATTATACAATATTAGAAAATTAAATACGCTCTTTGTAATAGTATGAGTAAATTTTTTGATCTCAAACGTGATGCATAACGTATTATTGGTGGATGATACTATGTTATGTATTCTTTTGTTATCTATATAAAAAAAATTGGAAATACTTGTCAATGTTGTGCTTTAATTATATACAAATCAAAACAAATTTTAATGAAAATAAAATTTTATTTATTATCGAAATAAATTTTTCGCCTATAAAAGATGCACTTAAATGTACTACAGAGCTCTTAATTTATCGATAAATAATGAGGATGTTGGGTAGAAAATTTATACGTAATTTTAGTATCTCTTAAATATATATAAAAGTTAATTCCCCCAAAACGTCCAAATATTATTTTTGCAGGATAATACAATGGAATTCATTTTTAACCCTCAATTCTAAGAATTAGATGATCAAAAACTGTTAAAATTTCTTGTTTTTTGATTTTTATGTTCTGCTATGAACCAAACTTTGAAATAAAACCTAACTCTGAGACTAGCTGAAAATTTCAGAATAGCGTACAATTTCCAGCTCGCAGTTCTTATAATTTTTATTTATTTATTTTTTGATGTTAGTCTATCAGTTTTACAGCAGATTCTCAATAATCTGTACATTGATGAATTAATTTACTGATGCTTGCTTGATCATTTAATTTTCGTAATTTCAAGTTAAATAGTAGTTAAAAATTATTGGCCCATATCTATTGATAATTTTATTTCCGACGTTTGCCGGTTAGTAACGCTGCATACATGTTTTTAGTATATTTTGTTGTGCAAGTTCTAGTAATATTTATAATTAAAACTGTCCATTTTTATTTTACACAGAGGAGTTGAATACAATAAAATTTTGCAAATATTTCTGAAACAGTTAATACTTTTAAGGATGAAATCTTTAAAAATGAGTCTCCTGACTTTATTAAGGAATATAGCGTGAGACATGTTAAAATGGTGGTATTATTGTAAAAATATTCCTTTTTTTCCCCTTCAAACATTTAAAAATGGATATTAACTAATCTTACCTGTTCTCATAATATTTTTTATAATTTTTTGTTTGTTTGTTGAATCCAATCAGTTTTCAAATTTGAAAGTCTGGTATTCTTGTTACATTAAATGATAATTAAATTCATAAAAATCTAAATAATATTTTCTAAAGTTCAGAGAAATATTCTGGTGTCTCCGTTTAATAAAAAGATCCTGCAATCTAACATATTTTTTTTTAAATGTGTTGCTTTGCGTTTATAAAATATGGTTACGTGCAAAGTTCATCACACATACTTGTATAAGAATAAACAAGTTTGGTGTTAGGAATGATAAAAATATAGTCGCTAATGAAAAATATTCAATTTGTTACTACCCCCTTAATGTCTAATTCTTAATGTTATTGAGGCTGTGAAAGCTGCCATTGGCGGCTCATTGTCCCTATACGTCACAAGAGAAATGGGGGAAAGGGAGGGTAGAAAAAGGCGGATCATTGGCACATGCGCTTTGCAAGTCGTGCTTTGCCGCTGGGTGTGGGCGGAGCCTATTCAATCGAGCGCATTTTCTAGCCAACCACATTGAATCCTCAGTGAGTCTGTAGCGACGTCAGGTTCAGGACATGGTATTCAGCTCACAAATGTGGATTATTTTGTCGGTCTTTTTCCCGTCCACGGTGCCGTACGCTTCGGATTTCTCCGGAAAGTCGATTTCGGACGACTGCTTGTGCTGTTAGTTGCTATGGCTGATTGTTGACTGATCAACATACAGCTGCTTCACTTACAAAAATGGAGTTTGCGAAGATCGGCCATATTCTATACAAAAGTAAGCGTATGCTTATTTGTTTACATATGTAATTATGCATATCTATGATGTATGCACTTGATGGCATAGAGGAAAAATATTCAGATTATGTTTCTGATTGGATGGTTGTACCAATTACTATTATTTTTGCAAAATTTTGTTATTAGGAAAATTTATATCGCAATATAATTAATCATATTTTTAATAGTATAATTTTAATAATAATATGTATAAGGGGAAAAATTGTATTCTTTTGCTTATTGTGTGATTGAGCTTATACAATTATAAGCAATAATATATTGTTATGCTCACTTATTTTATTTTTGATGATTTTTACATCTGAATGCAGCAAAATACTACTCAAACATAGCTTATTCAGCTTTATTTATTTTCGCATTCGAAAAGTACATTAAATAATTATACCATTTTTTTCAATATATGAATCGCATATATTTTGTATTTGTTAAATTGCACGAATTGTTGCTTTTTATTTATATTTACTTTGTTTACAGTGTGCAACGAATTATAAATTAATATTTACAGATTTCGTGTTGCATAGAATATTTGTTGTTCACAGTTATTTTGTTTACAGTGTGCATTATTATTGCTAATTGTAATTATTTTTAATTAACAGGAGTGAGTGTGGTGATTACCTAATTCATGGATATTTGTGAAAACCTGTGCTTAATGGATTACTTCTTGTGAATTGTGAAATATCGTTATTATTACTTTGGATTACGTTTTTATGAGCTTATTTACAATATCGTTGTGTGAATTTATTGATCATGGATTACCGTGTAGATTATTCCACGCACGTTTGATTGTGTGTAGTGTAATTTGTGCATATAACTTGGATTAATATCCTGGATTACTAAAATTATCGAAGATTTTTTGGATACCTTGTTACATTAGGTAAGATATATTTATTTCTTTCATACATTTTATAAATCCGAAAGTTTAAATCTTATAGTAATATAATCTCTTTTAATTCTTATAGTTATATAAGAAACTATATTCTAATTTGCTCTTTAATATTATAATTTTTTTAATACTAAAATTTGCGATTATATTATCTTTATTTAATCTAAGGTGGCGTTATCGCTTATTTACGACAAAATCGCCGAAAATTGTTAGTAATTTTACTCTGATATCTAAAAAACATTACGGGAAAAAAAATGCTTACTTAATTTAAGAAATCTTGCAAATTGCTGTTGAAATCCATAAAATATTGTACAGTTAATAGGTCGGGTTCCTATTTTCTGGGGGTTTTCCAAACCATTGCATGGACGCTAGGTTGGCGCTTTTGCACCACTTGGCGGAACTCAGGCATGAATTTGAAAATCAGAGCTTTAAGTTCGGTTATCTATTTTTAAAAAAAATAAAAACTTATCTATATTACGTCAAATTAAATTTTAACTAATTAATAGATAATTATAATTAAGATGTTATTTGATAGGATTTACGTTTTTCCTAATAATTACTGATCGATATAGTGAAAACTATTGGGTATGCCTGTTGATAATTATCATATTATGGTTTTTGTGATAAAAACTAAATTGTGTTAATAATTTTATTGGCAGATGTTCTTCATCCTTTATTCTTACTTGACCGATTTGCTGATAATTATTTTTAGTGACCTGGTCTAAATAAATAATTACTGCAGAGCATTACATATATAAAAAAAACCTACTACTATTTACTTGCTATCTATTTTCTTACTTTCCAAAATTTTTTTTTATCCCTCCAAAATAATTGCTTGAAATTACTGGAAATCATTTTTGGGATATAAAAAATTGGTTTGTCTGGTATCTGGTTCTATTTGCAATATCTTATTGTGAATTAGATAATTTCTTATGCTTACCATAATATCCTTTTTTATTTCTCTGATCTAAGATGATATTTTTTTCTGGAGAATTTTGTTTAGCTCTGAAAATGTTTTAAGAAAAATTACTATTAATTTTTGACTAGTTAATACTGCTGGAGTTTCTGTAGTGCATCATTAGTTAGTGTTAGATTACTTTATCAAATATTATTTAAAAGTAGTCATTTGTCGTTTTACATAAACCATTGCATTTAGCATTACAAAAATTTACCAAAGTTGGCAAAAATCATGATTTTTTTTTCAATTTTTTTCTATTTTTATTTAAATCCAATTATATTTAAACCATATTTTTTCAATTTTTTATATTTGCCTTCCAAACTCCCTGAAAATGCATTAATAATACTTATTATTAAAAATCATAATAATGCTAAATTAACTTATATTTCAATCCAAAATATTTCAAAAATTAATATTTAACTATTACTAACTAATCACTGAAAAACTAGTTATTTTCCACACTCAACATCCTAAAATTTTTTAAAACGTAGGCAATATGCTAGTTAAATATCCAATAAAGGGTAAATTAAAAAAATATTTTAAGTTTCTCTAGGTAGAGCAAGTTGTTTTTATTATAGATATACGATAATTACATATTTAGTAAGTTTTTATAACGAAATAAACGAAAAACTAAAAGAGTATAGTTGAAATATGTTTATTATCAGAAAATTATTTTACACACAGCTAATAGGAAAATACACTTAATAATTTCAAGCCGCCCTTATCTACTTTTAGTTTCTAATTTATTTTTTAGTCTATTAAAAAAAAAATTTACGTACTTGTACATTTTCTTTAAATTATTGTTTTGAATAAAACCTTCGTTATCAGTGAAATCTGACTTTAAAAAAATCGCGCCAAGAAGAATGTACTTATAAATCATTATGTGTAAAACTATTTTTGACGTATTTAAAAAAATCATTTGGCTTAAATCAATTATTTTCTTAAATAAAATCATAGTTGATGATCAATCAATGATTTTTTACAAAAATTATGTGATTTGAATAGCATAATCTTGATGTGAATTAAGTCATGCCAATCCTGCTTTACACATTTTAATTATTATTTTTATTTATTTTTTGTTTCATGTGAAAGAATAGCAATTTAAGAATTAATATTTATTTTCTTTGAGTCTTTACTTAGCATTTTAAATATTATTTACCCTAACTTAACTAAAAGTACAATCAGCATTTTAAGCGTTTCCATTTGCTTTACACTACTTGTTTCTGCTTGTTAAGTTTTGTCAACCCACATTAGTTTTAGTAGTTGAGTGTTTACAAGTCTATTGATCAGAAGCAGTTGCAAAGATTAATGTGTTTCTTGTAAATCTATAAGTAAAAAGTATCTATAAGGTCTATGGGTACCAAGGGTTATGTATGGGTAAATCATACAACCTGTGCTATTATCATTTTATGAGTAGAGAATATTTGGGAGGTTGTACATTGTATAGTGCAAGTGGAAAGACTATTTGGTAGCAATGCTCTTTACATTTTTATGCACACTTAATGCCCTGAAACTCGTTTAATAAGTTTTGCTTTTGAGCTCTTAAAATTAATGTTTGTACACAGTGACCTTTCTGTTTTCCTATGTTATAAGTTTGTCACAGTCTCTTCCTCCACCCTATACAGTTATACTAATTTCAATATTGGTGTATTGTGTACACTGTATTAAATTGTTGTTAATATTTTGTAGTTAAGTATACAGTGATTGATAGATTCTAATACAGTTTGTAGATAGCTGTTCAAATTTAATTCTAAAAGAAAAACAAACTTGCATTTGGAAAAATAACTATTACTTATGTTGAATAAAGGTTCTGACATTTTAAAATTGTACTTTTGACATTTAATGACATGCGTTGTGAGTGATAGTTAAATGTAAATAATAAAATGTGTGTACAGTCTGACGTTTAAATGTTTCATCCATGACATTTACTGTGTCATCCAGTTAGTCTGAATTTTTAAAGTTTAATTAAGTCCCACATTAAATTTTCTTTAACAATTCAGATTCTTTTTTTTTTTTATCAAATTCTTGTTTTTATTTTACAGTGAAGTTATTGAACTAGCTTTTGTGTGTCATGCAAACTTTTTAGTTATTAGATTAGGCTTAAGAAATATATTCATTTACATATATGTTTTTAAATAAATTTTTTACAGGCGTTGTTTAAAATCTAAGCAGGCAGTTAAGGGTTCTATGTCATAAACTGAGAAATCAGTTTATTTAGTAAGATTTACATCACATATTTAAAAACTTCCATTTATTTATTTTCACTGAATAATCATTTATTTATTAGTGTTGGTTGTCTAATATAATATAGTAATTTATATTTAAATTATTGGTTTCTAGAAAATATAATTAGTAAAACGTATTCTATTATTAATATAATTAGTATACATATTATTATAATTAGTATAACTAAATATTTGTCTTATTTTTTTTTTAAACATCATTGTCTTTCAATTTTCTAAATAATTTAATTTCTATCTTTTGTACTTAATTTTAATCTGTAGAGTTTATTTTCTTAAGTAGTAGATTGTAATAAAATAAATTTAGGTAAAAAATTTTTTTTCAATAATCAGTTTTTTTTTTCTGAATTTCATTTTGTTGTTTAAAAGAGTGATGCATATGAGAGCATTTATTGTGGAGGAATTTTTATGGTTTTTTGGTTTTCATTTGGATGGTTTTCATTTTGGAAGCATATGTTACATAAATTCTGTTGTCTAAAGAAATCTTTAAACATTTTATTTTGATAAGGTAACAACTGAACACGTTTCAAAATTAATCTCTCATAAAGAACAAGTTTTGTATGGTACTTTTATTTACAGAGAAACATTTCAGGCAAAGAGTTTTTCCTAAAATACAATTGCAGTGCTTTTGAATCAATATTAAAAAAATCTGTTTTTGTGTTTGCAATACAAACCTTGTTACTGGGAGTTTTATTTTTCTGAGTGCAGTTTATAAAATTATTTACTTGGGAGCAAACATAAATCAAGTATACAAGCCCTATTTTGTGTTTATATAATTGTTAATTATTATTAGGTATATTATTTTTTCTATTATTTTTTATCAAGTGGTAAAAACGTTGTGTTAATATATCTTATTTACATAACTAGGTTTCCTGTAATTAGTATATAGTGTATGATTTTCCAGTTTTAAGTTAATTAGTAATAATATAAATTTTTTTAATTTATGCACAAGAAACACATTTTTTTATTCAAGCATATGTAACTGTGTAAGTTATTTAGTCCATGAGCTAAACGCAATACCAGTGTGGTGTTTTATTAGGTCTTAAATATGTTAAGGTTTCTTGCATGTTAGTTAATTTTTTTTTATATGTTTATATTTTTGTTGTTTCTTATCCTAACAACCATGAGAAACGTTTGCTATTTTAAATTAGTTTTTATTTATTTTTTTGTAATATTTATTGTGGAAACTTTGCCTGATATGAGAATAGAAATATTTTTGTAAAATCTTTTATAATTGAATATTTTGCTTTCCATCAAATTTTCTGCTTTAGGTTAACTCATTATTTTTCTTCTATTGTGTTCAAGGCTCTCTTGTATATCCTTCTCTCCCTGATAACTCTCATTTTGAGGAAATGTTTTTAGGGTATATGGAAGAGATAGATAAGAGGGGTGCAGACTGTTTCCCCTAAATCCCCCCCTTTTCCGTTGCCTAGCAACAAAGCGCAGAGAAGTCCCCTCCCCGCCGGGGGCGCATGCGTTGTGGGCGTAATTCCGGCTTTTCTAATTCGATTTGGCATTGCTGAATATTTCTCTTTTTTCTAGTCCCCTTCTTCGTTCCATTCTATTTTATGCTCTCTCTCCCTTTTGGCATCTTTTCATGCATTCGTTCGCTCTTTAGAATATTTAGCTCTGAGGATTCTCGATCTGCCATTGGTTGGCTGTGAGCGTGACGTGCTTTCGTACTCTGCCTCATTAAATGCGCTATGGTTGCATTTGGAATGTATTCATGCATGTCTAGAGGCGGTGGGGAAGGCGAGAAGTAGCTCCGAAGAAATTAAATATGGAGAAAGAGAGATAGTAACACTGTTCTATTCTATTTCTTTCTTTCTGTATCTCTGTTCGTTTTTGTCTTTCGTTTGTGTTGATTTGTACGCCCCCATTATTTTGGATATTCTATTTTCTCAATTTATTTTTAATATTATTTTAATGTTATTCTCACGTGGAATTTTTTCATCAGTCAGGGTGGCCAGGGAAAGCCTGGAAAAATACAGGGAATTTAAAAATAACAGGGAAAATGTAGGGAATTTTTTATTTTTTTCCCCTTACTAAATGGGAATTTTGTTTCTTAATTTTGTCTTTTAAAAAATGTTAACCACTCGAATCTTTATCTATGGAATATTTAACCATGGTATTTCAGCCGTACTAAACTATTTCATTTACTATAGCATTATTTAAGCATGTTCAGCTGTTTTTAAAGCGATTAAAACTAATTAATATAGTTAACCCAGTATAGCTCACACAAGAGCTCAGTAATTGTTGTTTCCTCTTAATATATTGTGTATAATATGTACAGGGAAAACACAGGGATTTTTTTTTTCTCCAGATTTGAGTGCTGTCAGTTCTAGGACGGAAAACCCTCTATGGTGTATGTTTGTTTCTAGAGGATGA